TAGCAATTTTATTTTTATTTTTCATTTTTTTAGAGAGAGATCTCATTATGCTTCTCAGACTGGCCTCAACCCCCTGGGCTCAAGGGCTCTTCCTGCCTCAACCTCCCAAGTAGCAGAACTATAGACTTGAACCACTGCTCCCGCTTCTCTCGTCGTCTTTGTAGATTTTATATATGTAATACAATGAACCACTGCACCCAGCTCCTCTTGTCTTTTATGTAAATTTTATATATGTAATGCAAAAATATACTCCTATATATAGAATTATGTCATTAAAAATATATCCTTATATAACAGATAAATACACATACACCATTCAAAAAATAGGCTGCTGTATAAAAGGGAGATGTAAAAATATCTCTTCTGAGTTTATATATATATAGATATACATAATTTATACACAATTATGTAGATTTTATATAATACAATTATGTTTACATAAATGTTATGTACTGAAATTTAATAGGTATGTATGTAAAATTGGGGCGACTAGTTCTCACTGAGTCTATCAAATAAATCACAGCTATAGCAACTCTTAGGTTATAAAAGTGAATATTAAATAACTATGAGACCAAATGCAGTGACTCACACCTGTAATCCCAGCACTTTGGGAGGCTGAGGCAGGTGGATCGCCTGAGGTCGGGAGTTTGAAACCAGCCTAGCCAACATGGTGAAGTCCCATCTCTAATAAAAATACAAAAATTAGCTGAGCGTGGGCACACGCCTGTAATCCCAGCTACTCGGGAGGTGGAGGTTGCAATGAGCCAATATCACGCCATTGCACTCCAGCCTGGGCAACAGAGTGAGACTCTGTCTCAAAAAAGAAAGAAATTTTAAAAATAAATATGAACTTAACATAATGAAATCTTGTACCAATCTTTATAAAATGAGCATCCACATGCTATATTAATTGATTATAAAAAGAAACCCCAGACGTTGTAGTGTAAGAATAATGCCTGAATTCCTTCACTGCACCATGACTTTGGGCTATCCCTGTTAAATATCTGCTGTGTTTTGATAAGCGGCTCTGAGCTGAGTGTTGAAGGCGTGAGAAGGGCGAAGATTATGGTGGAAACAAAATACAGGCGATGAGCAGTCGTGGTTCCGAAGGACACACAGGGAAATAGTGACTCCCAAGAAAGTAACCAGTACAGGAGACGCTTCTGTGGAGACCTAGGGGAGCAGCATCCACACCCCGACAGTTCGGGGCCGTGCGGGGCATGGTGGGGTGAGGAGGCACAGCGAGGGGCCCCCCCCAGGGAGCTCTGTCAGCTGCTGTGGGCTCCGAGGCCGGGAGTCTGTGTGGGAGAAAGGTGGGTAGGTCCTGCCCCTGCGTGGTGAACACACAGCCTGTGTCTGCTGGCTGAAGCCCTCCGAATCTCTGTGGGAGTATTAACTGTCTGAATAACTGACCTGTTCGTAAGTAGAGTAGTGTTACATACGGTTTTTCTTTTGGGGGGCTTTTCAAGTTTTTTTCCATATTAAACTGGAAAGTGCTTGAGGTGCTGGGTCGTCACATGTGGATACTGTCCTGCAGTGGGTGCTTGGACTTTATTTGTTGAACGTTCATGATTATCACTGTCTCAGTGGTTATTTTTGTTTGTAATTATTTATGTTAATAATTTTAGCATCTGAAACTTTACTGGTGAGAAGCAAAGTACTTTTGCAACTTCACAGTTCAGGTAAAGGTGTTATACAGCAATGAAACTTACGTTTATAAATGTTTTTAAAAGTGCTGCCACGTACGCATTATTTAATTCTCACGGTTACCCTAGAGAATAGGATACATATATGTTTGTTTGTTTGTTTAAGTAGAGATGAGGGGGTCTCGCTCGGTGTTGCCCAGGCTAGTCTCCAGCTCCTGGGCTCAAGCGATCCTCCCACCTTGGCCTCCCCAAAGTGTTGGGATTACAGGCGTGAGGCACCATGCCCAGTCAAAAAAGATATATTAAAAGTATATCTTTGACCAGGCATGATGGCTCACGCCTGTAATCCCAGCACTTTGGGAGGCCAACGCAGGTGGTTCACCTGAGGTCAAGAGTTCGAGACCAACCTGGCCAACATGGTGAACCCTGTCTCTACTAAAAATACAAAATTAGCCAGTCATGGTGGCACGTGCCTGTAATCCCAGCTACTTGGGAGGCTGAGGCAGAAGAATTGCTTAAACCCAGGAGCTGGAGGTTGCAGTGAGCTGAGATCATGCCATTGTACTCCAGCCTGGGCAACAAGAGCAAAACTCTGTTTCAAAAAAAAAGCAAGTATATTTTTTCCTTTAGCCTAAGCAATTGTATTCACTTTACTTAGTTTGCTGTGCAGTGATGTATTTCAAAATTATTAATGTGTTCAATACTCAAAGTGTTGGATAATGGATAAGAGAGAACAAAGTAAGTTCTCCTTCAATGGGGGCGAGTATACAACAGTGGAGAAATGGGATGTGTGTATAAACAAGAATGGGCCAATGAATGTTATTCTCTGTACTTATATGTATGTTTGAAATATTTTATGTTAAAAAAGTCCGTGAAGTGTATTTTAGTAAATAAGTATACAATCTGCGATGAAGTAGGAATACATTAAATGTTGTTTAGGAAATTATGAAGTGTATTAGGTTGGTGCAAAAGTATTTGTGGTTTTTGCCATTTTATTTGCAAAAACCACAATTACTTGTGCAATAACTAGAATTTTACCTCGTGTTCTACAAATAAATTCTGTATCATAGTCTCCATAGTAGTATCACAGCTGAAGTATTGAAATGAGGGTTGTAAATACTGCACGGGAGAAATGAGGTAACTCCTACTCTGTAAATAAGGGGGACGTTACATCATGTTCGTGGTAAGTCTGTTGTCGGTGTTGAGAGAAGTGTTCGCATGTCTGATGGTCCTTTTGCTCTTTTTGTCTCCCAACGAACAGTGGTTTATCAGATACTATCATTTCGGATATGATATCAAATTATCTGGTGCTTCCCAATCGAATCACCGTTCCACTTGTCAGTGAAGTTCAGATAGCTCAGTTGCGGTTTCCTGTACCAAAGGTAAGCGTGTCCTGGCATCCACTCACATTGAAAGACAGATCTTGGCTGCCTGTGGGTGTGGCACTGGGTGCCGTGGCTCTTTGTCTCTCCAGCGGCCAGCTTGCCACATGGGTCTTGATGCCTTGACTGTTGCTCGTCTGCCACTCTCCTTAAGAGACTTGACTGATGGGCGCCGACCCTAAAGCTCGTTACAGAGACAGCAGGATGGTTCTGCCCCCAGAGCTGTGTTCCTCAGAGGGGCCGGTAGGGATTTAAATCTGCGGAGGTGCATGGCACAGACACCTTAGTTACCTCAGACGCACATACTGCGTTTGTTTTTATTAAAATGGACAGGCACCAGTGTTCCTGGCAGTCATGATGAGAGCTTCGTATAATAATTCGTGTATTTTCTCTCAGCTGTTAGAATTCCGTTGCCTCTGAAGCCATTTAATGAGTAACCTGGTAGAAGCAGCACTGATGTAACAGCTGACCTGGATAAAATGGGAAGAACAGAACTAGATTTTTGTCGCAGCTCCTGAGTTTAGCTGTAGCTTTGCTTTTGTGGGCACATTACTTGGCGTAGCTGGGCCACAGTTTCATCGTCTGTAAAATGGGACAGCACCCGCACACAGAGCTGGTTGCAGATACTGATGTCACCTTCATTTGAGCAAACGAAATAAATAACTGCAAGGTAGTCAAGAACATGAGATTCCTTCTGCTGACTGTGGAAGGGGTGGGTGGAGTGAAGGATCTCTCATGGGCTAAGGAGAGCTTTTCAGTCACTCAGGTGTTGGATCCCGTGTCTATTTAGTCTACCTGGACCTTGGACTCCAGAAGCCAAGTGAGCATTACCATCGTGGTGGTGTCTATAGTAAGCAGTGCACACCACGTTATTTATTTTTACTGAAACAGGACGTGGTAAGTTGGTCCTGTTTCAGTGGGTATATTTTTTTGTTGTTGTTCGCTGAAGTAGAAGCAGATCGCTTTCTCCTGATGCCTTTTTACTTTTTCTGGTTTAATTAGATCTAAATAATGGTACACAAGTTAACAGACACGCAGAGGCATCTTTATATTTTTTAAAAGTAACAATATGCCAGTTAATTTGGTGCTCAAATTGGTTATATCATTGGCATTCAACAGCTTTAATGTGATGCTGTATATTAGAAAAGAATGTCTTTTTTCCTTAACTTCTGACTCTCACCTCTGGAAATGCAGGAATCCCTTCACATGTAGAAATCCTCGTGCTCCTCTGCACCTAAGTCTCTCATGCTCTGAGTACAGGTGAGCACCTGAGCGTGCCTGGATCTGGCTGCCCTTAGCTACATGGGCCTAACAGCCAGTGCCCTCAATAGATGTGGCCAGATTATCCCAGCTTTAGACGTATGAAAATATAAACAAGAGCTGCTTCGAGTTTTTGAAGTGTGTTTCTCTGTGGAGGGACATGTATTCCTGTGCTGATTGAATGAGGAATATCACTCTGTAATTTACTTATTTATTTATTTATTTTTTTGAGAGAGTCTTGCTCTGTTACCCAGACTGGAGTTCAGTGGCGCAGTCTCGGCTCACTGCAAGCTCTGCCTCCCGGGTTCGCACCATTCTCCCACCTCAGCCTCCCGAGTAGCTGGGACTACAGGCACCCACCACCATGCCCGGCTAATTTTTGTTTTTTAGTAGAGACGGGGTTTCACTGTGCTTGCCAGGATGGTCTTGATCTCCTGACCTCATGATCCACCCACCTTGGCCTCCCAAAGTGCTGGTCTTACAGGCGTGAGTCCCCGCGCCCCGCGCCCGGCCATCACTCTGTAATTTTATAAAAGGATCTGTGGGGGCAGAATGCTTCCTACCAAAAGGTGACTTGAACATCTTTGTTTGCCTTGGAAGAAATGAGAGGGAATTTTTTATTCTTTTATCAATAAAACAGTATTTTAGGGAAAGGACTATGTTTGTTTGTTTATTTTGAGACAGGGTCTTGCTCTGTCACTCAGGCTGGAGTGCAGTGGCGCCATCTCAGCTCACTGCAGGCTCTGCCTCCTGGGTTCAAGTGATTCTTACAGCCCAGCCTCCTGAGTAACTGGGACTACAGACATGTGCCACGATGCCTGGCTAAATTTTTTGTATTTTTAGTAGAGATGGGGTTTTGCCATGTTGGCCAGGCTGGTCTTGAACTCTTGGCCTCAAGTGATCTGCCCACCTCAGTCTTCCAAAGTGTTGGGATTACAGGCATGAGCCACCGCGTCTGGCCAAGAGTATGTTTGAAGTCTATGAATAATACATATTTCAAAGTTGCAGTTTTCTTCTCTCTAAAATAAGTTTAATGACACCATTTCATAGGATTATTCTAAAAATGGAACAGCATAGTTACTGCATGTCTAATGCTTAGTGACAGGTCTGATACAACCTCTCGTGTTATTACTCACTGTAGCACCAGGATCTAGTACAGCTTGGTGGCCTGTGTCACCAGCCTCCTTGAGATAAGCACAGTGCTGTGCTGGGTCCTCTGCACTCAGCATCCCTCTGCCAGGAGCGCCACGTGGGGCTGCCTGTCCTCGTGTCTCTGTGGAGGGGTCATCACTCCAGAAGCCCCTCTGTTCTCCTCTGAGCCAGCCCCACCCGGGCACTGCTGCCTTGCCCTGCTCTTGTTTTTCTCAGCACCTGCTTCTCCTGTACATGCTTACCGCGTTTCCCTGCTGCTGGGACGTAATTGGCACCAGAGGAGGGTCTTTGTTCCCTCTGCATGCCCAGTTCTTGAGACAGAGCCAGACATGTAGCTATCTTCCACGCCAGTTAAACGAGCCAGCCAAGGGTCTAAACTTCAGTTTGTTCTTCTTTTCAGGGTGTTCTAAGGATACATTTTATTGAAGCTCAGGACCTTCAGGGGAAAGACACTTACCTTAAGGGACTTGTCAAAGGAAAGTCAGACCCCTATGGAATCATTAGAGTTGGCAACCAAATCTTCCAAAGCAAAGTCATCAAGGAGAACCTCAGTCCAAAGTGGAATGAAGTCTATGAGGTAGGGTGTCATGTCCGCTGTGTCGCTGGGGCGGTGGGCTGAGCCCTGAGCGGGGTGGCCAAGCTCTCATTCCAGCATGGTCATGTGGGACTGTGGCTAATTTAGGCCATCATTTCAATGTTCCTTGTTTAATTTCTCAAATTTAAAAAGTGTCGTACCTTCTCTCCCTACTACACAAC